TTTGCTTCTATAAGTTGACCGAGGAGCAATTTTGTCTGCATTATTCCCAGAGTAGTGATGATGATGATGAGTCGAACTCGAACTTGAACTCGAGACGGACGATGAAGATTTAGATTTATTTACACTTTTTGCAACCGAATGGCTATGATATGGACTCAAAGGCGCGCGAGCATTGCTCGAGATATGTGATTTCAATGGATCGGAAGCTACAACATTTGAAACAAAAAAAAGGAATAAAAACGAAAAACGATAAATTGGTCGTGATTTATTGTTAAGATCCCACTTTAAAAGTTATAAAAACGAAATTAACTAGAATTTTACCGATGATTGAAGGTTGATATACGGGCGGTCGAGCATGATATGACTTGATTGGACGAAAAACAGAAGCTACAGTTTCTTGCAGATCAAGAGCTGCTAATGAAGGCATCACTTATCAGTTATCAGTACACAAAAAGTTTAGAAATGTGAAAGTCAGCACACTAAATCAAGAAGCTCGAGTAACTCGCTTCATAGAAACACACGAATCGTACTACTTTTCGGAGGAAAATCGAAAACGATACCACAAACTATCTAAATACCAAAAGAAAAACATGGCCATAGCTTGTGATCACCACAAAATAATAACAATATGTAACAAGAATCTGCAATGAAGATCATGCAGAACTTCTAAAGGCATTATATTTTGTCTTTATTTTTGCAGATAAATTAAAATTCAACTAAATTCATGCTAACTTCATAACAAATTCAACAGCAAAACACACACACACACACACACACATACTCTAAAATTAGAAGAGACCCATTTACCTGCAGATTCTTGAAGCAGGGCATCACATAGAAACAAAGAGATTCCCACCAAGGCAAAACTCAATTTTAGCTCCATAATTAAATAAATAATCACCAAGAACCTCCCAAAACCCAGTTGTGATCAATTCAAGAAAATAATAATAATAATAATAATAAAGTCAGAGCCAAAAGACAATATAAATCTGCATAATACACCAACAACAGTTCATGGGCCCATTTTTAAAGGGAGTACATAAAACCAACAAGAAGGGTTACAAGGTGTGCTTTATGTACACAGAC